TTAATAAATGATGCTGGGAAAACTGCATACAGAAGAATGAAATTAGACCCATATCTCTCACTTTGTACTAAAATCAAATCAAAATTGATAGAAGACCTAGATATAAAAACAGAAATGTTGCAACTGGTGCAAGATAACATGGGAGTAAACCTTGAAGCCACAGGCACAGCCAGGACTTCTTAAACAGAACTCCAATAGAACAAGAAATAATACCAAGAATCAAAAACGGGTGTATATCAAGTTAAGAACTTCTCACAGTAAAGGAAACAAAAGAGTGAAGAGAAAACCTACAGAATAGGAAAAAAATTGCCAGCTAGCTATTCTTCCTCTTCCTCTTCTTTTTTTTGGTAATGGGGATCAAACTCAGAACCTTGCACTTGCAAGGCAAGTGCAGTGCCGCTGAGCTAAATCCCCAGCTAGCTACTCTTCTGATAGGGGGTTAATATCTAGAATATACAAATAACTCAAAAAAAAAAAAGTGGCCCCCACAAGCAACAACCCATTGAAAAACTGGGCAAGTGACTCGAATATAGACTTCTCAACAGAAGTACAAATAACCAATAGGTACATAAAAAATGTTTCTCATCTTTAGCCATTAGGGAAATGCAAATCAGAGCAACTTTGAGATTCCATTTACTCTAGTCAGAATGGCTATCATCAAAAGCAAAACAAAGCAAAACAAAACAAAAACCAACAAATGTTGGCAAAGATGTGAGGAAAAGAAATCCTTCTACACTGTTAATGGGAATGAAAATAATATAACCGCTATGGAAATCAGTATGGAGATTCCACAAAAAAAATCAAAATTGAAATTCAGTTTGACTCAACTATACCTCTCCTGGGTAAACTCCTGAAAGACTAAAACACATCAGATTACAGTGATACATGCATCTTACAATTATAGCAGCACAATTCATAATTCACAATGTTCTGGAAACAGCCTAGATCCCCATCAACAAATGAATGGATAAAGAAAATGTGGTATATATACACAATGGAATTTTACTCAATGTAATTATACTCAGGATGAATCTGAGTCATTTATATGAATATAGATGGCTCTGGAGACCATAATACTAAGTGAAATAAGTCAGACACAAATAATGCGTAGTTTATCCTATATGAGAAACACAATTATAAACAAGGGAAAAGTAGAGGCAGACTTTTTGGAGTAGACAAAGTGGGTCAGGAGAGTGAGGATGGGGTATGGTGAGGGAAAAGAGGGATGGAAAGTGATCCATATGTTATGTATGTAACAATTCACCAAAATTAATGTTGATATCATGTACTGCAAACATATGCCAATAAAAAAAAGAAAAATTACAAATTCCAAAAATTAAAACAATTTTGTTTTGGTACTGGGAATTGAACCTAGGGCCTTTGTACTAAGCAACATCGCCAGAATTTTAACGTTTTTTTAGAGGAAGAGTCTTGCTAAATTGCCCAGCTTGAATTTGTGAGCTTGAATTTGTGATCCTCCTGCCTCAGGAGTGCTGAGATTACCAGCAAGCACCACCACACCTGGCTTGGTTTAACTTTCTTTAGCTTTGACTCATGTTTCTAAATTTTATTTGCTTCTATGTATACTTTAATGTTTTGACTATCTTTCCTAAGTTCAGCTCCTAAACTGAACACACAACGTTAAAAAAGCTGTCCAAGCAAAAATATAGAAAATGGTGATGTTCTAGATCATGCATTTCATGATCCATTTACAATCTGAGGATCTTCTTGAATTTTAAATAGCAATTTAGATAGTTGGCTCCTAGTCAAGCTGTGTTCCACTAAGTCAGCAAGTTTTCTCCCATCTACCTATAGAGAAAGGTCTATTTGCTCTACTTGGGTTCCAGGACTGATAAATTGTTCTTCCTTTATCACATCACATTGTCTTCTGCTTTTGTTCCCTCAATGCCTTTTTTTTTTTCCCTCTCCAGGGAAGTTCTTACTTCTTAAAACAAATTCCATGTTATTTTTCATTGTACTTTTAAAATTTTAGCACCCAACAATTAAACACAAAAATATCTCAATTTCATGTCTTCTAAAATTGAAACTGCTCCAGTAATTCAGTTTAGAGCTTGTCTGGAAATCACCTGAGACCAACTATTATAGCTGCTGAATCATGTGGCCTATGTCCTAAATACATTTTGATAAACACTGGCTAGTCAAAGAAAAGAAAAATCTCATTCCCTAAAAATTCTAACTGAATGAACTATGTAAGAACAATTGTATTTGCTAGTTCCAAAACTGAGGAAGTTTGTACTGTGTCCATTTAGCTAAGCCAGAAATATTTTTCCCTTTCTCTGTACGGGTCTAAGCCAGGCCTTTCTACAGGATTATTTTGCATAAGATCTGAAGGGCAGACAAAAGCAGCAGCTATCCTTGCATGCTGGAAGTCAATATAGGAACAAGGATTGTGCCTGCTCAGATGCATTGCTGGTGACCTCAGGATGCACCCTGCTGATAGCAAAAGCCAAGACCAGGGCTTCTCCTGTTTCAGGCAGGGTGCTCCTTCAGCATCTTCAGACCCTACACTGGGCACATGTGAAAGGTACTGGCATATCCTGCAGACCACCTCTCTGACTGAGGTTAGCAACTATGAAAGACAGGTTCCAGTTTGAACTCATGGATTCTGGTCTGTGTGGATTCTGGTCTAAAATAAAGTCCAGTTTTTCCTTAAAAATTCAATTTTATCCTCTTGTGTCTACTTGATCCTTGCTTTCCCCACTTTATGTCCATATTTCCCTCCCAATTTAGTAGCAAGGACAGAAGCAGGGTGACTGTAATCTATTCTGGGGAATCACATCCCTTTATTTTTGTTCTATTCTCTTTGTTGGAAGAAAGTCACTGGGTTCTGCCTATATTCAAGAGGAAGAAATTATAAAGGGCATGTCTACCATAAATAGGGATCATTGGAAGCTACTTTGACACTGTCTCTCCCCTTTCAAACAGACCTCTGAAGCACCTTTAAGCATGTGCAGCGCAGGACCTCTCTAAAGACTAGAGCTGCTAGCCTGTAATCCCAGCACTTTGGAGGCTCAGGCAGGAGGATTGTAAGTTGGAGCTCACCCTGAGCAACTTAGTGAGACCCTCCCTGTCTCAAAATAAAGAATAAAGGGGCTGGAAATGTAGCTCTGTACAAAGACCCTGGGTTCAATCCCAAGTACTAGAGAAAAGAATAGAACTTCTAAGACTATTAGGAGAATTTTCTCTCAGCATCTCTTTAGAAAAGATTTGCAACAATGGCTTTCAATTAATGGAGTGGATTATGAATTCATACATGGGAAACCCATGAAGCTTTTAAAGAAAATTATCATCTTGGAATAAAGACACAAAGGCAAACTGAAAAGACGTATTGCTACCATCAAATTTTTATGGGCAAGAAAGTAGCTAAGAAATCCTCTTAGTTGCAAATACTGGCTTTATCTTCTGGAAAAGGAAGAATGGCTCAGAGGGATGACAAAGGTTGCAAATGGCGGAGCCAAGAGCTCTGAACGCCTCACAGGGACCAGCACTATGCAGAGGACAGTTAACACATGTCAGCCCAAATGTCAGAGTTACTATAGACTGGTGGCTTCTTTCTTTGTGCCTCCTGCTTGCCCCTCCACTAATGCAAGTATCTGTTGTGGATATCTTTTGCTCATTTCACCATTCAGTGCTTCAAGTGCTTATTGACTTACTTCTCAGGCTTTCAGACCTAAGAGAATATACCCAGGAGCACCCTCTACACCCAAGTTGGATTTAATGACAAGATCCTGGATCTTAAGCCTGAGCCTGACCATACGTTTACAGAGGCTCTTGAGAGGGAAAGAATTTGTTTCGTAGATTGTATTAATGTGTGATCAGAAAGTGGATTGTGGTAGTTTTAAAATTTGTTTGCAAATTCTTTGAAACCCTCTTCACTAAGAAGTTACACCGATGTCCCCTCTCCATTCTGGGTAGGCTTCTGTTTCCACCATTAGAGTATGAAAGAAGTTATGTAACTTCAAAGGGTAATTCATAGTGTTCCCGTCTTTGCTGACGAGCAGATTCACTCTTGGGGCCTTATGTTGCCATGAAAGGAGTCTATTTTAAAGATGTCATTATGTGTGAAATTGAAGCCATGGAGAGAACATGTGTAGGTAACTGGATCCACAGTCCTAGTCTTTGAGTAGTCTCAGATCAGGCACAAAACACATGCGTTGTGACCATTAATTATGATATATCAACTTGACTGGGTTAAGAGACACCTTGCAGCGTGGTTAGGCACACTTCTGGATGAGTCTGTGTAGGCCATGAAGGTGTGATTTTGGTACTATATATGGTCCCTGGCACCTTCCACTCTGGTGCTGTGCCCCTGCTCTGCTTCCCAGCCATCATGAATTAAGCAGCTATTTCCCACTATCCCCTTCCACCTTGATGCTCCTGCCTGGAGACAGTTAACCATGGACTGAATTCCCTGAGCCAAATAAAACCATCCTCCTTTAAGCTGCAAGTGTCAGGCACTGTGTCTCAGCAATGAGAAAGCTGATTAATACAGGAACGAACAAAGCTCTGGGCCATTTTAGGTCCCAGGCATGGGTCACTGCTTCACTGCCACTCTTTAAGTCTTTCCACCTGATGTCTCAGATATTGTGGCATAGAGACAAAGTATCTTTGCTATATATTACCTGAGTTCTTGATTCACAGTGTGTAGGAAAATAACAAATGGTTATTCTAAGCAAATTTTTGTATAATTTATTTACAGTCACTGTAACTGAGACTAAGCCAGACAAAAAACATCAGAGTTAAATTGTAGGTGACATGCATATTGATGACCAATACTTAGCTTTGGGTTAATTTAGAACTTTGTGTGAATGAGATCATGAATGCAAGTGCTCCTGGTGACTGACAATGGAAAAAATTATTATTATGTCAAAAGAAATGTATGTGCATATGTCTTTTCAAATGATTATTATCAACAACCTAATAGTATTAATATTCTGGCCCAATGTTTCAAAACTTTAAATGTATATTGAAAGTACAAATGCATAAAGAAGTGTTTTATTGTTCAAAACCATGCAAATCTGGGCAGAGCTAAAATGCAAACACAGATCATTTTTTTTAACTATTAATCTCTTATTTTTCTTTATTATGTTCTCTTCCCTCCAGACATAATTAATATTCTGAGAAAACACTAAGAAACTATAATTATGAAAAGTTGTCCCCACCTGGAAGAAGCTCAAGAATGAAAAATTAATCTTCCACCTTAGAAAAGAAAGATTAAGAATGACTTAATGATTAGGAATATGATGAATTTATACAGATGGGGATAATTATATTTATTTTCCTGTGTGTGTTCAATTTATGAAAATTAATATTTAGGTTAGCTTAATAATGCATTTCACTTCACTGAGGATTTATGCTTCATTTTACACATCGAAGTTTGATCAACTATTTTACTTGTAGATTTCAGACAAAGAAAGGACAGATACTAGATTTAAGTGATACAACTGTGCACACAGACACCACTAATACATAAGGTTCACCACTAAATGGTTGGTAAGGCCTCTTTAATTTTAACAGAAATAGTAATAGTAGCTCACATCTATGCAGCATTGATTATTTCACAGATACTACACAAAAGACTGCATATTTTTTATAATGGCCAAAGCAGACTTTTAAAATAAGTATTACTGTGCCTTTTTCCACAAGTGAGACAGCTGGTACTCAAAAAAGTAAATCATTTTCCCAAAGTCACCCAGCTAGGAAACAGTGGAGGTGAGATTATATGATGGGTCAAGTGCTTATATTTTGTCTTTATAAGGTGCTCTAAAGGAAACAATAAAATCACATGTGGAGATTACACACGATGTGGCCAATCATGGGCAAAGTAGATCTGTAGTATTCTAAGTTGGTTTTCATCATTATATAGGTAGGGTTTTAAAAATTATAACTATCGATCTCCTTTGAGAATATCATTGCTATTACATCTGTACAGTTCTAAAATCTATCCAATACATAAATTTCTTACCTATATATGTTGGTTATGTTAAAATATATACATGGAAAACATACAGTACATACAAACAAAATGCAAATAAAAATATTTTATAAAGTTTAGAAATTCTTTAAGCAGGTTATGTCAATCCTATTAAAAATGCTTCTTCTATGTACAATACACAATCTTTAAAAATACTACTCCAGGAAACAAAAACTCTTTGGTTCAGCAAAAGGACTCTGAATCTGGAAATTCATTTATGAAGGATGCACTCTCTTGAGCTGGACCTCACTTGTCTGGATCAAGTCTTTAGCAAGCATACAGCTGACTCTGAATGATGAAAATATGCATGTGGAGGGGGTAGAGGTTGGTTTTTAATCAACTATCATATAAAAATATAACCATAAATTTGAATAATGGTAGAATTTTAGATTTTTTAAATGTCAGATTAAAAGATACAGAGAAAGCTCTGCTTCCCATCTATTTTGAAAGGAGGGTAGGAGAGTGACCATGGCCAACACATGAAAACACTCACTAGTCAAGTTCATCGGTACTGGTGTCCAACACTACTGAAAAGTATTCTAGTCATTCTTTGGAAGATTTCCAGGAGGAGACAGGAAGAGGCCAGATGCTACGTCCATGTCTCTTATCACTTCTCCAATTGCATGTGTTAAAATTATAAACATATCCATGATTCAGATGTCTTTAAAATGAGCCGTTAACTCTACAGTGAGTACAGCAGATTGACATTTGCCAATGGACTTCTCAGTAAAAATTGATGAGTGTCATTCTATACTTTTTTGGGGGCAACAATCAAAATTGGCTAAAATTCTTTCAGCGTTTCAGAGTCCAGATCCTTAATAGATTTTATTCTGTTTATCTTTAAAGGAAAGGAAAAGTCTTCAGAATTTTGTTCTACATATTTTCTACTTTGGTAGAGAAATATTTTAGTACCTAAGATAAAATCTTTTCAAGGCCCATACTTTAATCATACATTACACTATAACCACTTTTAACAAGGTTTATGAAAAAATTTCTGAAGTATCACAGTGGTCAAAGGAGAAAGAGAGATTATTTTTAATTTATTTTTTTCTAAGTTCCCCAATATAATATAATTACCTGGTTGGATTAATTGGTTCATTTGCTTTAGGAAGAAGTGTCACTCATAATACTCAAACCTGCCTTTCCCCAGACTAGTATCAGAAGCATATTAGTAGGTTTGTAGGTTAAAATCAGATGAAAGTCAAGAGCTTCTATGAATTACCAAGATTTCTGCAAACCACCATGTTACGATGACACAATGCATACATGGAATCGGTGAGTGCTGGGGAAATCTTCCAAAATTCACTGTATTCTTCCCTCACTTTGTATGATTTACATGCTCAGAAACCAAGACACTTGTTAAACCTTGTTAGGATTCAAAAGAAAAAAACTATGATTGGGAAGGAGCAATAGGTTTCAGTAAAAGAAAAAAAAAACTATGCTGCTTCAACAAAAATGGTTCTGATGGTGGAAAGGAGGAGATATCCTTCCACCTTTGAGACAAACATGGAAGGGAATACATGAATAGTTCATAGCATCCAAAAGAGACATAATTCAGAACCACATCAGTACCACTGTCCTCCATCTCCTGTGCAGATTTCTTTTCCCTAATGGTCTTCCAAAGGATAGTATAATACTTCGAGTGAAGAGAGAAAAAATCAGGGTTGGATTATTGATCCTTATAGTCCTCTTCTGTGGTGTCTCAGCAAAAACCATCTTTTCCTGCATCAGAAGTCTTTATCCCAGCCTGACAGCTCATCCGGAGGCACTCCCTTTTCAGGAGGATACTTGTCAAAGTAGCTGTGATCTATGGGTCCACTGAGCTAATACAGAGAGGATTAAAACAAAGGTAAGAATGATGTTGACTGAGCAGGCTATTGCACCTGGGTAATGCTTTTTCTAGCTGAACACCAATTTCCTACTCTAACTTCTTGTGCATACATACAAGGAGAAGATGTCAAGTGTCATTATTGAGTCAGTCTCCATGTCCTTGAGCTTCCCTTTACAATCAAGTGATTCGGTCAGTGGATTACACTCATTGAGAGCTACCTGGCATGAGGAGCTACTTCCTAAAGAAAAGGTGACAGAAAGGCTTATCTATTTTTTAATCAAAGCAAAAAATATTTTAAAGCAAATATTTAAAAAATCAAAATTTCCTAGAGCCCATCTTTCCATTTTATAAAAGGGTCTCTCCAGTCTCAAATTTTAAAGTGGTTAATTCAGGTCTGTAAAGTATTCTGATTGCCAAAAAGAGGGGCCAACTCAAAATTTTAGTGACCCTTTGGAAAGAATGAAACTCTGGTAATAAATTACTTTGCAAATCAGGCAGTTTCCAATTCTTTGCTTTCAAGCATAATTATGTAGTACCAAATTGAATACTCACGTGAAAAAAAATCATTAAAAATACATTTTGTGATATATGATAGTGTGCACAATGGGAGGGCGGGGAGCGATCACTCAGAAGTTTATGTGACTCAGTCACAACCCACCATGGGTGGGGTCTTCCACTGAACCCCAGAGGGAGCTCTGGACAAAGCCTAGCATTCACTGAGTGGAGGGGAGAAGGACTCCGGAAGTACCCGGTCATCACTCCACCAACTTTATGCTATTGTCTCTGAAAGGACTGTGGAGGCCTCTGTCTTTGCACATTTGTAGCTTGAAGTTTTCATTACAGTTTAAATAGTTAGGGAGAATTCTACTATGGTGTAAACACTGACATTTTAAATAAAATCTTATGTTACTTTACCCCTTTAAGTATATCTACTATAATCTAAATGCACTGAGATTTGATTCCCATCAATCATTTAAAAAATAGAAACATTGCATCACTCCCTTTTTCCCCTCCATTTCCACCCATTTTCCCCATAAATGCATCTTAATGTAAAATAGTTTTATGCTTGACAATTCTTTTTGATCATTCTTTAAATGCCTTAAATTTTAGTTTTTAGAACTTTTTTTCAGCATATGTGACAACAAATATTTCTGATAATACAAATGTTTTGTTGGATTCATTTATAATTAATTTTAACAGCATGCAGTGTCAGGTGGCACAAATATATTGCAGATTTATAAAAGTAATTAATAAATGAAACTTCATTTGTCAGGCTGGCCAACACTGATTACCTTGGGATTTAGGTGGTTAGTTCCAGAGAGGTGAGCCAAAGACCACCAGGTGGGCAACACTATTTGGTCCCTAAAACCACAATTACTATGAAATTTTCACTTAATTTTTTAAAAACCCTATTTTTAAAACCACATAAAATCTGCTACACAGACATCCATGTGTACACTTGTACACACACACACACACACACACACACACGAAGCATACTGTTACGGCTTATATCTAGCTGTCCCCTCAAAGCCTCATGCTGCATAGGTGGGGCTTTTCGGAGGTGGCTGGATCTAGGGTGTGTGATGCTGGGATCAAGGATGTGATGGTGGAATTGATTCACAGGGTGACGCTAGGTTTAAGGGTGTGACTGCTACCTGCCCAAGGGGTGGGTAGCCTGGATAAGATAAAAGGACAGAAAAAGGGTCCTTGCTTGTTGCTGGTCCCTTGTAGCTCACTGCTTTTGCTGTCTTTTGCCTGCAACGAACTGTTCCTCCTTTGTGATGCCCCTCTGCTATGCTACCCCATCTTGGAACCAGCTGATTATGGACTGAAACCTCTACAAATTGTGAGCTAACTAAACTTTTCCTCCCTCAACTTGTGGGTGCTGGGCATTTTGTCTCAACAATGAGAAAAGTAACTACAACCCACATATACACTCACCCTTAAAATTGGTTTACAAAACAAATCCCCAAAACAAATGAAGAAATTATTACAGTAAATATCATAAATACCATACCTCTCTTCGTAGAGGCGAGGGAAGATTCCGTGCTTTCAGTCCCTCCCAATTGAAACCATTTAACCACCTGAAAAATGAGAAAAGTACAATGAAATATTACTTATCTAATAAACTATTAGCATGTCAAGGTGTTGGTCAGTCCACTTTGTTGTCTGCTTCCTGCCTGCAATAGCAGAGCCACAAACGTCACCATGCTGGGTGTCTGGGCTCACATTAAATCCATACCAACTAAGCTCCGGTGGGTACATAATCCCCACTACTCACTAACTATCCTAGATTTCCCTGTCATAACTTCACAATTCATACTTTGTTCTCTTTTCAAACTTACAGAACCTTCTTCTAATCTTCCTGATATCCTTGTATCTTATTTCACTGAGAAAACTGAAGCAAAAAAATCTCCATCACCTCCCATCAGCATATCTGTCCACCTACTCTTATCTGTGATACCTTCTCTCTTGCACCATGAATTAAAATAAAGTGCCTTTGCTTCTAGCTAAGTCAGTTCCTCTACTGTATACTTGATCTCATCACCCCCTCTCTACCAGACACTCCTGCAATTCTCCTCTCTTCTGAATCTTCTTCCCTGCTAGATCATTCTCATTAATGGAAAAAACATTTTTTTCTACAACCAAGCACCTTCCTTTAACCTGTGTTCCCCTCCAATTCCCAGTCTACTTCTCTCCTTCCTTTGGAGGAAACTCCTTGAAAGAGTTACTTAATCACTTTATCTACCCCTTGTCTCCTGAATGTACCACGTCAATTTTCATTCCCTCCACTCCAGGGAATTACCTGGACTTTCAGTTTTTACTTTACCTGATCTAGTACAGCATCTGCCACAATTAATCAATCAATCATACTTTCTGAAATTTTTTCTTCACTTGGCCACATTTCACAGAACTCATCTACTTCCTTTCTAGAACATACTATTGTTCAGACTCTTATCTTCTTGAGTCTTTCCCTCATCTTGTGAAGTTGGTGTATGCCAGGGTTCACTGGACCTTTACTCTTTTCAACTACTCTCCCTTGATAGGTAGCCTCATTAAGTCTCCTGGCTTTAAACAGCATTTATATACTGATTATCCCCAAACTTCTGTTTCCAACCAAGTCTTCACCTCTGTGTTGGATTGACAAGCTGCTATTTACAGTTACTATTCATTCTCTCCCATCTGAATCTCTAACAGGCAACTAGCATATATCAACTCCAAACTGGAGCTCCAAATTTTCCCCACCAAACTAGCCTCAAACTTTCCAGTTGCTCAAACCACAAACATTGGAGTTACTCTTTCTCTCGTATTTATGAATTATTCTTTCTCATTCTCGGTTCATAAGCAAATCTAGTTAATGCTACCTTCAAAACATACAGTACCTGTATTCCACATCTGACAGCGCTCAAAACCTTCAGTCTACTGGAATAGGGGAAGCTGTGCTTTTGTCCTTGGGAAACCATTCAGCAACAAGCGTAATCACGTAACACGTTAGGTCACGTCAGGACTTTGTCCCAAGGTCCCCCCAACACGTGCTTCCCACCTCACTGAGTGTGAAAGATGGTCTTTATCACATCCTTACTATAGCCTACCAGACCTCATAAAATGATCCCCATCCTTCCATTCCATTACCACTGGCCCACTTTTCTATCTCTCCTCGCTCTTTCATATCTCATCTCCATTCTTCCAACAAACTAGGGATGCTCCTGCCTTAAGACTGGATTGTTCTTTTTCCAGATTTCCACACTCCTTCAACATTTTCAGATCTTTCCTCAAAGGTCATCTCAATGAAGCATTCTTTGGCCATATGATCTAAAATTGGAAGCCCTCTTACACTTATTTCCCCTCTCTGTTTTACTTTTCCTTCTTATCATTTACTGCTATCTGATAAACTACTTGACTTAGGTTATCTTCTCCACTAGGACACAAATTCTATGCAGGCAATGGTTTTCATTTCTTTCTTTTCCTTTTCTGCACCTAACACTGAAGGCAGTGCTTGATACAATCTAGGGTCTCAGTAATGTTTGTTGAATGACTGAGTAACTCTACAACAGATCACCCTTACACAGGAACTCCTACATCACACTGTCATGACATCACACTGTCATGAGAGTGATGGTCCTGGTGATATGGATCTCAAAAGTTCCAATGTAACAAAATGGATCACAGTGAACATATGAGAGGAGGCTGATGGCTAGATGAAATTTTTTCATTTATTCCTTCTGTATGACCAATCTAGAAGGGCTACTCTTGACTTTAGCATATATATCAATCTTGATGGGCTAGAAATACACCACTGGAAGTGTGAGGGTCTCTTGCTCCGCTTGGACACAATCCACTCTTATCTCTTAGGATCTCATAAAGAACATGGAATAATATTATTCTACATCCATTGATCTTTGCATTGGGACATTGAGGTCAGCTTATCTAGCCAACAAATATTTATGGAACATCAACGTGATCCCCTCCCTCTTCTTTTGGTATCAAAAAAGACAAAGACCCTACTTTTAAAATGTTTTTATTTTGGTGAGAGGTAACCAAAAAACAAGTAAACAACACAAATATTTAATTTGAGATACTCATAAGTACTAGGAAGATAAAAGAGAATAAAGTGATAGGTGATGGCTGGAATGGGAATAATGAGAGGAGCTGCTTTTAGCTAGGGTGGTGTTTAACAAGTGGTCTTTGAAGGCCAGAATGAAGAGCCTGGTGAAGCCATAGAACGTCTGTGGTAAGGACCTTCCTGATGGAAGGAAGCGGCAGGGATAAGTTGAGCTATGGTGAACACAGAGAAAACTAGGAAAATACAAATTTTAAAAATCTGAAAAACGCCAGAGACCAGATCATGTTAGGTTGTGTTTACAGCACAGTAAGGATTAGGATTTTTTTGGTGTGATGGAAAGCCATTACAAGGTTCTAAAGAAATGATGCAACCTTGTTTCCAAAAGGTACTTCCAGCTATGTAAAGGATGACTGGAAGGGGCCAGGATGGTCAGGTTGGTGATGGTGGAGGGATGAGACTGGAGGCACAGGCAGTTAAGGAGTCTGTTTCATCCTTCTGTCAGCCCCACCAGAGTTACTCTCTTCTAGTCTCTTCTCAACCGGGTTGGGTTGTCAGTTTCTTCTCACCCCAGAGTTGGCTTTGGTTCACTCCTTGACCGGATTTCCTAATTCAACTCTAAGTTTAGCAATAGAAAAGAAACTAAAAATAAAGAGGACAAGTTCTAGAACATTCCATTTCAGGTGCCATTTTAGTGAAAGCTGCTGGAATTCTAGTCAAAGAGTGAGTCAGGCAGCAACCCCGGCTGTTTCCTTTCCCTCTGTTGCCCTGGTTGTGAAACCACAGTTTTCTCCTTGATCCACCCATCACTTCTCCACACAACCTGAGGCTCCATTTTTGGGGATTTCTTGGTACACAGTTCTGTGGATTGTTTTCTTTTGCCTCCAAATACAGCAGCAATTCCTTCTAACGTACTTCACAATTTCTCTAACAGAACGTACTCCACAAATGCTAATAAAAAGCATTCCCATTATTCTACTGAATCAAAAAAGCTGTGCATTTCTTACAGAGTATTTGTTACAATATGACTTACGGGAATATTTACTTAACACGAGTGGTCATTCACTTAATACTTGGCCTTTTGACACTAATCGCATTTTAAGTAATGCAAACCAGCATGCATTCGTCTCTGAAAAACATCCACCAAAGAAATACTAGCATCAACAGCACATAAATTGCTTCTTTGTTTGTAGAGGATTTTAGAAGCTATTCTTGAAAGTAAAAAATGTTAAAATACTTGAAACAAATTATTCCTCTTATCAGAAAAGGTTTAACTGTGCCCTAATGTTTATTTGCCTTCTTTTAAAATAGATGTTGTAAGACATGATTGGCCTAGTTTGTAAATTAGGTTGTAAATAGGAGAGAAAGGAAATTATTTTTTAGAAAAGATGATTTAACACAAATCTACATAACAATCAGTTGTGTTTAACTGTATTGTTTTTAAATACAAAGCTAAAGTGAATATTTCTCTAAGAAAACAAAGTTTTATTTTAAAGAAGAATGAGGAAATCTAATGCCAAAGTTTAGATTTTTTTTAATTCCAAGGATATACTGAGTAGAAGAGCTCTAAACCTGGGAACTTACAGAAGGTTTAAAAACATTTTTATGTGGAAAGAGAAACAAAGATCTATTTTTCTGGGGTTCCCCCTAGCTGTATAGTTTCAAAAGCACCATGAAAATAGAAAACTAGAAAGAAATTGTGTCAAGCTTTCTGGGCCCACCAGAAAGCAGTGCATACATCTAATATTTCTTAATATTCAACTCTACCCTGAATGTTGCATTCTGATTCTTGAGCTACACATGAAGAAGACAATCCCGCCTAAGATGAATTATTAAGAAGAATAAGCAAATTAATTCCTGAAGGGACAGAAATTCAAAATTGTTTATTCCCATTCCCTGGTGAGGAAACTCTTTAGCACCCCTTTGCACATGCATCCCATCACAATTTGACAGCTACATTTAAATGAGCCTCAGGTAAATAAGAAAAGATAAAGCTTGAGCCTGTTAACAATTATATTACTTCTGTTTCCCAAGTACCCCAGGGCAAAACACACAAACCTCTTAATGAGAGAAAAGGGGAATACATATTGGAAGAATCACTTTAATTGAAGGGACACTTGTTTCCTCAATATAAATGGTGTGTTTATGTGTCATTTCGTAATGAGAAAAGAAGCGGTGATAAGGGCATGTTGTGCAAGGGGAAGATAAATTGGAATCTAAGACAAATAATGAGTTTTACAATTGAAGGCAATACAGAGGATGACAAAGAACATTAAAATACGACAAGCATTTTGATGTCTATAAACTCCACAGATGTGTCTGTCTTATCTCTCCCTCTTTTCTCTTTTCTCTCCCTCCCTCCCTTTCTTCCTATTACAGCCTTGTAGCAGAGCTTGATAGGCATTTACAATGTTGAATGCATGGCTTTATTTCAAGTTCATGAATACATAAGAGCAGAGCTGGCAACTCTGCTCTTTTTTTCATTTTTAAAGTTGTACTGCTACTATTAAGGAAAATGAATAGTGTTTCTATTTGGCAGCCACATCTCTCCCTTTATTCTCACACCATGCTGACTTAGCCCTAAGACCTCTGTGAAGACATCAGTAGAGGACTGGGGGGAGTTCAGAGGTAGGGCACGTGGGTAGCACCTACAAGGCCCTGGGTTCCATTCAGGCACCAAAAAAAAAAAAGAATCTGTAGTGGAACAAAATGCTGAGGGGTCTTTTCATTTCTAAATGTGATCACATCAGTGTATTCAAAGGTTTTCAATAATGTTGGGGGCAAAACGAAAACTTCTTGAGGACTGTAAGACTTAGGCAGGCCCTGACTGGAAAAACAGAAATCTTGAAGGACTGAAGTGCCATATTTGAATACTTTACCAAATCAGAGAGAATGTCTTAAGGAAGTGGTTCTGAAGTCCTTTTTCAGAAATTTACAGACCTAGAAAGGGCACATTAGGCTACTGTATAATGATAAATCACCATTGGCGGTTTTGTGTAAATCAGTGTACTTCACCTATTCAAATAAGTTGTATTTTAAATAGACATAAATATTAACTAAAGCTGACATAGGATGCAGATGACTTGTGATAAAGTCATGGGCCAACGAACTCATTCTAAGTTGAAAATACTGTAGTCTAAATCAAAATACACCTAAACTTCTGAATATCATAGCTTGGCCATGATATTCAGTTGACTGGACCAATCAACTTTATTGCAACTATTATTAATATAAAACCCCCAGCAATATCCCAGTACCAAACACCATTATTTGTTTGATCTGTACTAATTACGGCAGTACTTCTCCTTCTATCTCTACCCGTCTTGGCAGTTCACTGGAGACCACAGGTTGTTTGCTCTAATGATGGAGTGGCTGGCTGGGAGCTCACTGCTGCCCAGCACCTTCAAAAATTATTTTAGAATTAATTTTAGCCGGGCCAGGGATTTAGCTCAGTGGTCCCACCGCCTGCCTCACAAGCACAAGGTCCCGAGTTCAATCCCCCATACGAAAAGAAATAAACAAACAAAAAGAATTAATTTTAGCCTTAAAAAATCAAAAATAAAAATTCAACATACAGCTTGTATTGCATTCATACCACCATAAAGTTAGAAATCATAAGTTGGTGCTATTTAACAGGTGATTTAGGTGAACTCTTCTCTTGAATATGACAACAATGACTGTACCCTACTTGATTTAAAACTTGAAGGCCAAAATTAGAATTTAATTCCTTTATGGAATTTGAGTGGATAATAAAAAAAAAAGATAGCATGGAATAAAATGCTAAGCTTCTTTGACTTGAAGATGTGATTTTGTAACTGTTTTATAACTTCACTCATTCTTGATAAGAATTTCTAGCATTAGAGAAATCACTTTTTGCATGGTTTACGGTAACCATATCTAGTAAAACTCAAAGCACTAGACAAGAAAAATTGATCTGTAAAGAGAACCTCAGGGTTCACTTAGAGCCACTGTCATGACCACCATGTTATTCTCTAAGTTTCTGAATTTTTCTGGACAAAGAAGAACTGTATACCTGTGTTTCTTAATGTCATTGATTCCATTCTTCAGATTTCCCAGTCTTTCTGTTGGATTTTGCCTGAAATAATAATTTTTAAAAGGTGATTATACTTGAGTGAATTTTAAATTAAAACTAAATGTTGATTTATTAATTCACTCATTTCACATTCATCCAGCTTCTACTGCATATCAGATAGCTGAGTAAAGAGAGTTGAAAAAGACGAGACTCACATCTTTAAATGAGCTATGAATAAATGCTTAATAAGTACTATCTTGCTAACTGTTGAGAAAACTAGGCAGAGCTTTAGAGAATCATTCAAGTCTAGGCTGAAATTTTAGAAGCATGAGGGAATTCCTACAGGCTTCCCACAGCTAGGTTTTATATTCTAAATTTTAATGATTTATAAAAAGTTGACATCTGGGAAGAAAAAGCAGCAGTGAAATAAAGCTTTGCAAAGAATCTGGAAGTCTCCTATTTTCTGTTACATGATTTTTAGTAGTAAAAAGAAATTTGAGTAATATAAGACCCGAAGAGTACTTTAAAAAAAAAAAAGACTAAAAGGGGGCATTCAGTAACATTTTATCATTGCTACTGACTTTCTCTCAAAATAATAGTTTTAACCTATGGTTTGTGGTTCTTTTTTTCTCCTATAACAGATCCTATAAGGATGATTCTTGAAGATAATCTGTAAAATTTACATCTCTTTCAAGTTCAAGTAGGCATTGTGACTGTGTGACCCTTGAGGTAACTCAAGCTCCTTACAACACAAAACGGAAAATGCCATTCTTTAAATATAATATGACTACATAGAAAAACATAGTAAACATATGCCTAATTTTAAAATGTACAAAAACAGAAAGGGTTACTAAGTGTCATTCTCACCTGCAAAGCCTCCGAATCAAATCCTCAGGTCTTCTTGTTATCTTTCTGGGAAAATCCATTTTCTCAATTCCTTTGAGAATTAAATTGTAGGTCATCATTTGGTCAATCCCAGAAAAGGGTGGGCTGGAGAAAATAGCAAATAAGAGACACTAAGACTAGAGTCTGAGAAACCTTTGGAATTCTCTTTATTCCTTTCTCTCTTTCTACTTTCTTATCTCCTTTCATTCTTCTTCTTCCTCCTTCTCCTCCTTCTCTTTATTTCATTAATTGTTTTATAACAAATTTGGGTATGTACTAGAAAGTCATTTTATTGATTTCCCGTCACTTTACTCACACACACAGGTGAATTCCTCATCTGGCCATTGTCACTAAGGAAAGAAAATTAAAGGAGGGTACAGAGAGTGATAATTTTTTCAATACATGGAACAGGAACACTCTCTACTGACCTGACACTAGGGAAGAAGTAAGTACAAGTGAAGAAATGAGGAGACCAAATGGATGAGACATTTAGCTATCTGTAGGCAGAGGGCTAGGAGACAGGAAGTGCTGAGGCTGTGTGGAGTCTCTGCGTCAAGGGTGGGCAGCACAGATTCTGGAACCATGGGAACCATGAGGGGGAGGGCGTGGGTGAAGTAAGGAAGCAGCGGAGGAGTGTAAAATACACGGCAACATCATATACATCACAGGCTACAGCAGTGGCTTTGGGAAGTATTTGAGTCAGCGATTTCGTTTATAGCAACCAGAATTAGCTTTTTTAAATGCACAGAGAATAAACTGTGATGGGGGAGTGGGCAGAAGGCTTGGTAGCCTGGCTGAGGATACGACAGTTGAAGGTGGGAAGGTGATGAGATGTGTTTGGCTTCAGGTTCTATCCAGACTGAAATGGACTGCTTATTTGTGCCCCTTCAAATTCTTTAGTATGAAATTCTACTTCCAATGTGATGGTATTTAGAGGCAGGGCCCATGGAAGGTAATTAATTAGGTCATGAGATTAGTGCCCTTCTAAGCAGAAGTCAGAATGATGGCTGGCCATCTTTCTACCATTCGGAGATCAAACAAGAAGCTGAACTGTGAATAGGAACAGAACTCTCACCAGGTGCCCTGATCTTGGACTTCTGTCCCCCACAACCGCAAGAAATGTATGTTTGCTGTTGAAGCCACCCAGTTTATAGTCTTTTTAAAGAGCAGCCTGTGCTAGGACAGAAGGTAAAGCCAACAGGATGTGCCAAGGGGGTGAACATGGTGTGTGAGAGAAAAAGAAGCTTCAAGAGTTTGGGTCTAGATAACTATAGAATGGAGTTACCATCACTATGAGAAGGACTGGGGTGGGGGTGAGTGCTACTGGATGGAGAATGGCCCCCTCAGGCCCATGTGGTGAAGACTTAGTCTCCAGTCTGTGGCACAACTGAGAGTTGCTGGAACCTTAGAAGGTGGGACTTAGTTACAGCGAATTTGCCCTTGAAGGGGATATTAGAACACTATTGGAACACCAATTAATCTCTCTCTCTCTCGCTCTCGCTCTCTCTCTCTCTTTCCTGGACACCACAAGTAAACAGACCCTCTCTACCACACACTACCACAGGCCCAGAGGAAGAATGCTATGTGACCATGGACTAAAACTTCTGAAATTTTGAGTCACAATAAACCTTTCTTTCCCAGAGATTGTTTATCTCAGGTACTCTTTTCACAGCAACAGAAAGCTGACTGATAGAGTAGGAGTGCAGAGCAGGTTATAGGGAAGGGAATTCAGTTATGCTTTGAACATCCATATGGAGATGCTGAATAGGTAGCTGGATTTACAAGCCTAGAATTCAGAGAAGTTAGGGGTGGAAGAATGATTAGGGTCATCAGATAGTACTCATGGCCATGAGGCTTGATATCACCCAGGGAGTGGTAGATTGAAAAGAGTTCTACAACTGAAGTTGTCCAATGTTGAGACATCAGGAAGATGACAACATTCTAGCAATGAAGACTGAGAAGGAGTCCAAGTGTGGTATAAGAAGAGAAAGGGAGGATTAGAAGACACATGAAGAGACTATCTCAAAGAAAATATTGCTAAGATGAATAAAAAAAGATTGTGAATTAACTACTGAAGTTAGATAACATTTTATTTCATACCCAACTTTGTTTTTGAAAACTTTCACATCTATTCTGTCATTTAATTTCTAATAATTAAAGATGATTTTAACCACTCTATTGCATTTTAGCCATGCTTGACACCTTTTGATACCATACTGAGAGTTCCTACTGTTGTAGAAATCTCGGAAAGAAATACACGGAGACAAAGAATTCGAATAAAATAATAAAATTTCTTCTAGCGAGCAGGCGGAACGCCAGAAACAGGTCTGGTTAGTATCTGTGCGGGGGCGGGGGGGGGGGTGCTGGCTTTGTTTAGCTAGCCGTTCCCTTTTTATATCCTTTTTAGCCATTATCTCATCCCTAGTGGTCTTTGATGTGCAAATACAATTCCAGTCCCTGTTTACAAGTCACAGACACAAGATAGGCACATACACATTGTAAATTCACCCTGGCATTGCAACTTTGTTAGGTTAATGAAGTTACTGGTTAAAGAGTCAGATAACCCTTAAACAATGCGTTATGGGGGAAAGCAAATCTTAAAAGAACACATTATTTATTTTGCTTCTACAACTACGTTAATATCCAATCTATTAAATTATCTAAAACTTTTCCATATCACTACCATTCAAGTTAAACTTGAAACAAAGGAAATACACCACTTTTTCAATAATCTACGTCTCACCGGTAAGAAAATAAGGTAGGAAACAAAAAACATTGGTATGATATATATGTCCAATGATATTATTTTATTTTGTCTTGTTCCTTAGTTCTTTCTTCATTTTCCTTTAATGCTTGATACCCTGTAGAGTTCAGGACATTTAAAATGAACTTTTCTCCTGCCCTACCCTGAAAACATTGCAAAAACAATTTCCCAACTTCTTTATGACACGCAAGTCCACTTTACCAATTCCAAGTTGTTGGATTTTTCTCCTTCCTTATTTCCTCACTTTATTTGCCTACTTGGAATAATTTATTCCAAATTATAAAGACTGAGATGTATGTTCTTCAGTTACCTTACAGGAACCATCCTGTATTTCTCAAAAATGCCACTGAAATTTCCAAGATGAGGACATAAATTCTTGAACTAAGATTCATTGTGCCAAAAACCCTAAGTAACTTTTCTCTTAAATGTCTATCTGGAAGTTTTCTCTTCTTTCCTTCAGAATCATAAGCAAAGAATATTTGAAGATGATTACCAATAATATAAAATGATCTTGCTCAACGCATGTGAACAAACATATAGAATGTAGCCACAGGCTCTAACACTGGTATTTGCAGTGCAAAAAGTTCAGCAAGGCTTATGGGGCCAGGGGGTAATCTCCAGCACCAAAACAGAACAAAACAAACAAAATGTAAAGGAGTCCAAGAAGCTCTCTTTTTGTAACCAGACTTGTATCCCCATCAATGAACACATTCCAGTACTTCTTAAACCATTCCACATGCCAATCTTCTCCAAAATTAAGGCTGAGAATATGTGGTTATAAAGGAATTATAAGTATGATCATAAAACACATTACATGTGCTGAAAAGTGCGTCACATTTAGAGCCAGAAGAACAGAGCAGATTACTGATCTTAGGCAGGTAGCTTTCTCACCTGGCTTTCTAACCCATAAATTTAAACTATAAAATAACCATAAAAATTTAAATCATAAAACAATAATAAAAATTCTTGCCTTATCTTCCACACAAGTTCGTGAAAACTAAATTAGACATCACACATAGAAGTGCTTTATAAGCTGTTTTAGAAATGTGAGTTAATATCATCTTATTTTGTGTGTGTGTGTTAAATGTTGTGGACACTGGGTTCGTTAAAATACTCTTTTAATCTCTTTGGGAATGGCATTTCAATTCTAACTGCTAAAGCCCCTGCTGTCTTGTTTCTGTTCATTAGCACCTTTAGAAAGGGGTTGACAAGGGGATTAAAATTTAACTCCAGCACTTTGCTTTTTCTTAGCATTTCCAATGATATGTTGGAAAAATGGAAAAACAAGACTATATTTAGTTTGATTGATCAATGATTTTAACTGATCTAGGAAAATAGCTTTGCTTATTTATAAGAGAGAGAGAGAAAGAGAGGGAGAGAGAAACAAGGAGGCAGAGGGAGAGGGAGAGGGAGAGAGAAAGAATGATAATACAGCCCCAAACGTGCATTCCAGGACTTTATCCTTCTCTTATTTTATGTGAGATTATCAAAATTTTCCCATGCTTAATATGAGATCAATAATAAGGGACCTTGCCATTTTAGGTAAAACAGTAATCCTATAACCCTTTCATTCAAATTCTTGAATCTTTTCTCCATGTGATAAACTTGCAAGGCCACTAGATTTGAAAGTGTAAAGTAGAAAAGCCAACCAACTTAATAAAAAATAATTCTAAAATGTTAAACTCCTGAATGATATATTTTTATCTTTAGTGAGCTACTTTTGTACTTCTCCAAAGAGGAAGCTGAACAGAAGCTGAGGTACACACTTACTTGCCCGTTAGGAGCTCATACACTAGAATTCCCAGGGACCAGAAATCCACACTGAAGTCGTGTCCTTTGTTGAGAATGACCTCAGGAGCGACATACTCTGGAGTCCCACAAAATGTCCATGTTTTTTGTCCAGAACCTATTTTCTTAGCAAACCCAAAGTCAACCTGGAAAAGAACATAAAAGAAAAGTTCAGAGATAATAAAACATATAATCCTTTTTACTCATTTTCTACTTATTTCTGAAATCTTTCTACACTTCCACACTTTCCTTCATGTGGGGGAGAGACAGAAAGAGGAAGAGAGAGTGTCTGCCATATATCCTTTTACAAGATAAAGTATAAATCTATTTGCTTTGGAGAAAGTTACACACACACACACACACACACACACACACACACGCACCCACGCATATGTACTGCTATGTTCATCTCCCCAGAAGACGATTCAAGTTTGTTGTTAAGCTCCCAGCAAGCAGGACTAAAAAGTTTTTCAATTCAGTGGTGGTATTCAATGGGAAATAGAGAAGAGGTAAAGTGACAGAACCCTGTGCACTTAAAGTTCCATCATTGATATAAAAGCAACAGCAAAACTGAGTTTGGAAAGGAACAGAAAGAAACTACTGCTGAGAAGGGAGGCTTAGGACCCTGGATAATCTTTAAGCCCAATATACATGTCTGCTTCCCATCCATTCTGGCAATCCAGAGCAAAGCCAGCAGCGCCGTGTTCCCACCTGGGCTGGACTTTGTACATGCCCAGTCTCTCTCAGCAAATTTACTCTGAAAACACACATTCAGCATCCACTCAAGGCCAGGCTTTGTGACAGGTTTATACATACAGAGTTGACTCTGAGTGGCTCAGAGTGCTGGGAAAACATTCCCAAGTACGTTAACATGATATAATACAATAAAGAACAAAGTACAAATTCAGAAGGACAAAATACACATGAATATATATATATATATATATATATATATATATATATATATATATATATATATATATATATATATATATAAATAGAAAGGGTTGGGAGGATGCTATTGGGTAGTGACCTCAGAGCCCTGACTAGGGATTCAGAACTCTTCAGGTTAAGGAATCAGCTCCCTTTGCTCTGTCTTTTCAGAGCCCTTCAATGGCTTGAGCCTGCACACAATGAACTGTGGGCAGAGGACAGTGAAGAAGGCTGGGGCTGCAGGAGCCCCCTCACTGAACTGAGGCAGTGTATGTGCTGAAATCTCGCCCTGCAAAACAAACACCTGGGCTCCTTGCACAGGGGTATTTAGCACAGACTTTTCATCTCTAAGATACACAGAAATTATTTTCTTTTTCTTTTTTCTTTTTGGTACCAGGGATCGAACTCGGGTCCTTGCGCTTGCGAAGCTGGCAGAGGAACCACTGAGCTAAATCCCCAGCCCACACAGGAATTATTTTAATAAAACCACCTTCCACTTCCCTCAAGTAAACAGGCATACAAATTGTCCCTGGGCTTCAACATGCATATATTAATACTTTCATTACACATGGACAATCTCAGTAATATGGCAATTATCTTGGCTAAAAAAATAAATAGACAAAGTTAGCATATCAAAATAAGCCCTTGCCTAAAAAAAAAATGAGTCAGTGAACTATAAAATCCAGCCCCAATTTATTTACTCAAACATTAACATTTAAAATTTTAGTTTTACTTTAAATAAACCTCTTAGAAATTTACCCTTTTACTGATACTTCTAGTACTTATCACACAATGACAAGAATTTCCTTATTAGAAAATGAGAATCTAAAATAATCTAATTTGAAGTAGGCTTTTATTGTTTTCTTTCGCCCATACAAAATATTTTACAAAGATTACTTCTAAGAGAGGTTTGGGAATACTATAAAATTAAAATCTGTAACCAGCTGAGATTAGCACATCTATTTATTCCTCGGAGGGAGAACCAATATGAAAATCGTAGCTAATTTTATAAAGACTGAAATTTAAGAGACAATGAAGTAATGCTTATAACTGTATCTGTACACACAAATATATAAAATATTCTGTTAGTTTATAACAGCTTCTCAACTAATTTTTTAAACGCATTTAATGTTCCTTTTAAGAATACTAGAAGTTTACTGGGTATTTTGAAGAGTTTTTCTAGCTCTAAAAGTGGTAGTATTTTAATTTGAATTACTGGTCTTGCTCTTATAATAGTTGTACATTGGCCCAAAGAGACAGTAATAATTATATTACGATTTTAAGGTTTATGAAAATATATCACTTTCTTTAATGTCTTTTGATTATATCAATTTTGGCCTAACCCATTTGGTTAGAGGAAACTGACATTCAGATCAGAGAAAAACAGGAAGCATAAAAAGGTAGTATCATAATGATGATATGTCAGATAATGACATATGCTATGAAGAAACACACAGCAGACTCATGTAGGAACTCAGAGAAAGAAGAATTGTGCTTAAAATAATGTGACCAGGATAAAACCACTTTGCAGAAGAGCATTTGAGCAGAACTGAGTGGAAATATGAGTGAAATAAGGGAAGGCTCTAAATATTGGGGAACAGGGATGCTATCAGCCCGTCAAGCTGTTCCAAAGGCCCTGAGGTGCGAATGTGCATGGTGAGTTCCAGGCCTAGCAAGCAGGTCGTTATGGTGGAACAGAACGTGAGCAAGAGGGGGCCAGCAAGAAGAGGGGATTCTGGAGTGGATTTGAAAGCCACAGAAAGAACTTCGGAGTTTTCTTGTAAGAAGCCATTGCAGGATTAAGAGAAACGGAAGTGATGGCAAAGGTTGATTTATGACTTAAAAGGCTCATTCTAGGAAACAACAAAAGAGAGTCTGCACCCCTAACCTCCTTTTTTCTTAAATTCTACTAGTGAAACTAAGCTTTCAAAAAAAAGATTTCTGGAAAACTGTACAAAAGTTATCCTTTTTCTCTATTAAATTCCCATGATTAAAGATGACTTACATTAATCTAAAAGTTTAAGAATATTAAGTCTCCAAAGATTTTAAGAAATGAAAAGATTTTAAGATACTTCCAAATCTGCAGTCATGATTACATCATTTAGAATCAGAAAAATTAGCATTGTGGCTTGCTGGAGTGGGTGTCCAGGAAGCATGAGCTTTTTCCCAGAAGTTTCTCTCCAGGTCAGTAAATTTGTCAGATATTGGTTCTCCCAGTAACATAAAAATGGACACAAAATGACCAGTCTAATTAAGCCAGATGATTCATGAAGACATAACATTCCAAAAAAATATTTATGTGGCATTTTTAGGGCACTTTCTTTACCCAAGTCTAGACAAGGGTAGAATGGAATCCGTTTATTCTGTCTGCCAACAACCCAAGTTGATTTAATGATACAAATGTTCATCCTCTGAACAGGCAATGAGGGGTGGCTTCCATGAACTGGAGGTAAGAGTGGAGAGCTAAGGTATGGGTCAATGAGTTGTTCTTGACAATGGCCCACTCTTTGGGGGACATGGTTCACCTGAAAGACTCATATGTATTTAGCAGAAGATGGGTGAAATGAAGGGAAAATCTGAACACACAGGGTGAACTAGAACATTCCTTTGAAGCTCACCTGATCCCACCACTTCTTTGAAACCTTCCTTGAATTAAGAACAAGTTCTTCTGTCTTATGAGGTTCTCTAACACTGTCTAGTCATGATTATATTTCTGGTTATGAATAAATCTAGTTCCTTGAGATAAGACAGTATATCTATTCACTTTGTATTTGTAACACAGCAAAGTTCACCTTGTGTTAGGTGAAAAAAATGAAAAGATAGCTATTATTATCAATTTCAATAAAATATAGTGAGGTCTAGAAGGGTCATGTATACCTGTATGTCCTGCTTCAAAGGACCCATCTCACTACAGGTAAGGTGATGAGGAAGTAGTAGATATTTAAGGGAGAAGAAGCAGCATGTGTTAAGCATGTAAGTTTAGCTGTCACATTGTAAATACACCTGATCATGGCCTTCCAACAGAATGCATGAAACTGATGACTATATTTAATTTTAATTTGAGAATACTTGCTACATATAAAAAAGGGACAAAGCATCACACCATCTATTTAACACATCACGATTTTTTTATCCATTCTGCTGCTGAAAGACATTTCTGTTATTTCCAATTTGTGCCATTACAAAAATGCTTCTATTAACATCGTTTTCCATGTTATCTAATGGACATATATAAGATAGCAGAAACACTGCCTCAAAGATGTGGTATGTTCAATTTTACTACATACTGCCAACTTCCTTTCCAAAGGAATTGTTCCATATTACCTCCCCCTTCACCAGCAGTATATAAGAGTTGTGATTGTCCTACATCCTGACTATCATTTAGTAATGTAAGCATTTTTATTTTTTGCCATCTGTGAATATGAAATCACTATAGTTTTAACTTTTATTTCCTCCATTATTAGTGAGTTTGAACTATACCATTATAATCAGCTGTCATAGGTGACAGAGCAATTTCCTCCAACCGTGTTCTCCTTATTTGCCTTCAGAAATATCTTGGCTATTCATGGTCCTTTGTTATTCTACGTAAATTTCACCATCAGCTTGCCAAGCTTCATGAAAATCTCTGGTCAAATTTCTCTTGGGAGTGTATCAAATCTATAGATCAACTTACAGAGTAATGATACTTTTAGGGTTTTGAGTCTTTCTGTGTTTAAATATAGTGCATCTTTTGAGTTAAGATACACAATGCCAAATACTGCAACAAATATATCGAAGAAGATATAATAGCTTAAAGTCTACAGCAATTTACTTCTTCCACACAATGGTTTTCCTGAACAGCAAGTGAATCTTCTCTAACAGTGATTCAAGGATGAAGATGAAGACTCCTTCCATGGAAGTGCCCTGCATTACTTACTTTTCTCATTGCTGAGACAAAATATCCAACACCCCAAATTAAAGGAAGAAAAGTTTATTTACCTTTCATAAGTTTTGAACTCCTTTGGGTAAATACAAGGCATATGATTGCTGGACCACATGGAAATTGTATGTTTAGTCTGGTTAAGAAATGCAAACTGTCCTCCGAAGTGGTTGGGCCATTTGCATTCTTGCTCCTGTTACCCTCACTCTCAACAGCATTTACTGCTGTCAGTGTTGTGTTTCAGCCACTCTAAAAGGTGTATAGTGGTAATTTGTTGTTTAATTTTTAAACCCT